ATTATATATGTATATATATTATTTTCCAGTTTGTATATTTGAAAATTATTGTATTATAACACAGCAGTGCAAATATAGCTGTTCATATTACTTTCCATCCGTTTGATTTAAATTCTTTTATAATTTATAGTAAATTAATAATAATTCTTAGGCATTATTATACAAAATTGCATTTTAAGATGAAAAATATGTCTTTTACTCTCTTATGATAAATAAGACTGCTTTATTTACTTAGATGCACAATAAATATTAAACGCATTGAGAAAAGCTCCAGGCATTGCATTATTTATCATCTCTCTTATCTGAAAGATTCATTTAAAGTTTATATTCTTCTTATAACAATAACAATAACAATAACAATAATAAATACCGTCTTTTTCTTAAGAGGCATTTACAACTGACTTGCTGATAAGGAACATATATCATGGCATGATTCTGTATAAAGTATACCGAAATATTAAAAGATCATCACTTTGACTTGAAATCTGTTCATCACATTTGTAGTTTAATTTATTATTAATATAAATGACATAAGAGAAAATATTAAAAATGTTTGCTTGCATTACAAAAATTTATTTTTATATCAGTATACTTTATTCAAAGCAAACCAATCATTCATATGATAATTGCATATAGTAATAGGTCCTTTGGTCCCTGAACCTAGATTTGTACTTATACTTTTAGCACCTTAAGGTTTTACAGTATTTTGACCCTTTTGTTATAAGCTAAGAAGTATAATCGGTGTGAGTGATGTTAAGAAAAATAATCTATGCTATCACTATATTTTTTTGTTTAAATTTGTAATCATACATTTTTTAACGTTTCAAGTTTTTTACAAATTAAATATACATTTACAAATGTTAAGTTTATTTTGCTTTTCTATATCATTGCAATTTTAAATGACATTGCCACTTTTATTAAATAGTTAACACAACAGTTACAAATAAAAATTAATTGCCTATATTATTACAAATACAATGCTGTGATTGTTAGTTCAACATCTAATGCAAATTTTAATTTAGTATATTTTGTGTATACAAGAATAATAAATTATATAGAATAATAAATAAATAAACTATACAATATATACATTTAAACAAAGTGACTTATTAACTGTTAAGTTGGCAATGTCCATTTATATTTTCAAAAACAAGTAATCTTCTATTTTGATACACCTCAATGGGTCAAAGATCTTTAAAGGTTCAGGGAAATTTGCATTATAAGCTATTAAAAAAAAGTTAAGCTTGATTAATATATAAAACTTATTAAAACCATCAATATTTATACAATAATTATTATTATCTTAAAATTTGTTCTTAAATAAATTGTGCGAATGATTGTATATATGAAATCAAGTCAGTTCATTAAATATATGTATATATAATTTATGTAAGTGTGCATATGTGTGTAAAAATTATATATACACGTACGTATACTTTAAGCTTATTATATATATTTATATTTCTTTTTACTTCAGTCACTGGACATATGTGCTTAGAAAACACGTTGAAACTATAGGATAGTTTATTTTTTTTTATTTTAAACTTTGTCTTTACCTTTCCTGTGTTTGCTTAAAGATATTTCATAATGAAATTAATTATACATTTTTTAATGCTAAGATCCAGTGAGTCTTGTGCATTTTGTGAAATCATTGTGCTATGAAACAAATTTCATAATACAGTACAACAGGCCAATTATCAATTTTTTATATGACATATATAACGTTACAATATTACATTTGTCTTATACATGTACATATATTATTGCATGTACGTATTATAAACGTGTAAAGTTCAAAAGCATTTTCAAGTAATACTATTTATTCTTAGTCATTCCAGACTTTTTTTTATTCAAAGGCCTCATAGTACTAGTATAAAAAAACTATATAGATTTAATATCATTTTTATGTGTATCACTCAAGCTTTTACTATTGTCTGTGCATAAATTTCCCTTTTTGTATTTTTAGTCGGTAGTTCGATGTTATTTTATCAGTCCCTCAAAAATATATGATGCTATATTACATATCTTGAATACCCCTAAAATGCAGAGCTAAGAAAAACCATATTAAATCTCAAGATCTTTTCTGTGCCCATTTTAGGTCATCCGCTCTAGGCTTACAACCAGTTAATTTTTCAATAATGATTTCTAAAATACACCAAAACTGGAGTTTTTCTAATGGCCAGTTTAACCAGCCAGTGGTAATGCAAAAATATGTTTCATGCGGCGCAACATGATGCACGCGATGGTGTTTCCTCGGTAAAATTATTCTGTGTTCCTGCAGCCAAACTACCCAGGGAGGAAGTCCGAAGTATGTATGAGACCACTTATGAATCTGTAAAATATCTTTTATTTGTCCCAACTTTGTAACTCGCTTCTCACGAAATGAAATCTTTTATTATAAACGATAATACCATTCATGTTCTATACTTTAAAAATATATGAAAAATTACCTGATTAGTCATTGCTACAAAAATTGCAAGCAAAAACCAATAACACGTCCAAAGAAATTTCTGCTCGATTTCCGGTTCTGATAAAGTAAGAAAATCCCATGTTAATTTAGAAAGGAATGGTATGGTAACCATAAAATTGTCACCATTCGTTTCAATAAAATCGTGTCTCGTTATACTGGTTGGATCAATGTGATGTTCTCGAAAAGGCCTTAAAAAATTCTAGAAAATATTAATAATATTAATAATATGATCATTTTCATTAGAGATGCTTTGTTGATTTTGACAAATCGTACCTTTCCAAGAATGGGTAATTCGACAGAACCCCATGTATCGGCAGCCCAATGAACTAATCCTGATCCAAAATCCGCCGTGACAATTCCGCATAATGCTGCTACTGCTATTGCACTTAAATTTTCAAGTTTTAATCTGACTAGGATGAATAACGAATTTACTGCTACCAATGCAATACAAATACCAACACATATACACTCTTGTGTTCTTTTTCCTGTAAGAAACATAATATATACATGGTTTAACATTAATTGCTAATTATACATCTTTTATTATCTTTCTAAACTAACAATAAGTAACAATTTTTTAATCGATTTTTTAGCCTAATATATTCATATGATAATTTACATACATCGAATATGAATCTATAATTAATTACGATTAGTAACTTGTTATGGCTACTCAAATGGAAAATAGAACAATATAGAAATTACTTTGCTATCATAACATCTTTACATAACAATCTCAACACGATACTGATGTGGTGATTGCTTATATCGTGACAAGTCTTTATTTTGGCTCGCGGAGGTTTCAAGGTACAAGTGACTTATAAGTGGCAAATTTTGGCAAGTAATCAATTCTTATATGATGGATATTTTATTATCATATTCTATACATTTTATGATTTGATTTATTTATTTCATTTTAATTTCTAATACATAATAAATGGAATTGTATATAAAAGTGTATCACTGATACGTTGAATGAATATTATTAATAAAGAAAAAAACAAACTAATTAGCAATCAAGTTTGACTATCTATGTATATATACTGGGAAATATAGATTACAGGAATCTCGTCTTCTTTCATTACTTGCAACCTTGATATGATACACAACCTATAATTTATCAAGCTTAGTATCCATTCAACGATCTCGGCGATAAGAATATCGTATCAATTGCATCAATTTATTTTTTTCTTTATAATAAATTTGACTCTCTTTTTTTCCAATACTTTAACTGTTTTAATAGAAGGACAAAGAATGTCAATAAAATGATAAGAACATAACATAAGCACATTTTAAAGAATGTTTGATATTACGAATATCCATTATTAAACTTATATACTTTTACGAATAAAAGTTCTTTGTATTAAAGATCTTTTGTTTTCAGAGTAATGAAGTAAATTAGAATCATTAGAAGCAAGAAGGATACAAAGAGAAGATCTCTTTCATGTATGCTGAGCTAATGAAGATGAGGTCATGGAGTGAATATGATTTGATTACGTTCGCAGAAATAGAAGAAACAAAGAAATATAAAATAACTTACCGGTACTGTAAAGATTTGCTAATTCTTGTGCACCTTTGTGACTAGGGCCCCATCTCGGTACTATCCTATCTTCATTAGAAGTGGGTACCACTGAATTTGCATTAGGATCATCTTCGAGCATTGAATTTTCGTAAATTTGCCTTTCGGTTTTGACTGGGGCTAAGAAATTTGTAGCCATTGAGCATGCGGCCGATGCAGCTTGTCCTAAATTGGGCACCTTTATGTCATCCATAATTAGCCTACACCTTTACGATTCGATGTTAAATATAAAGGAAATTTGTCTTCAGGAATTACTCGTGTCATGCACCAATCGTTGTACGTCCTTTGGCATCGCAATATTTCGTGTTTCAATAACACGCGAAAATAAAGGAATGAGTATAATTTGTGTATTTTTCTTTAATTTGATTTCGTCGCTCTTCTTCCTTGTTCTGTCTTTTAATTAAAAAATTCGTTTAATATTCTGAATGTTTCAGAATCATTCGAAATTTTCGGCCTCGAAGTAATTCACCGTTTCGTCCCATATCGTCGTGATCATTCTAATTCTATGCACGTTTTTTCTTTTAGTCCCTTGTTTAGAATCCTTTTCCTCATCTGATACCGCATCTGATGATGGTGACGATGATGTTTTCCTTTAAAAATACACATGTTGTAAGAGACGATACGATTACATATTCCGTTGAATTTCCTTCCTATTTCCGTGATATCTCTTACATATCATTATAGACATAACAATTTGCACGCGTAATAGGTTGTGAATCGTACTGCCGGTACCTATTCCTTTTTTCCTCGTGTCCGTTGAGCCAAAACGAAATGACGTCAAATATTGATCGATAAATTTTTTCATTGACTATTGAACTATTTAATAGATTATACGGCGTGGTCGCTTTATTCGTTTCCTTTTATCTTTTTTTTCTATTACTTTCTTTTATTTTCTTTTTAGTTTTTTTTGACACATCTTAACGCGGCTCTAATTTAAAAATGAAACATTTCTAACATCGTCTGTACAATTGTATTTGGCCAAAAGTAATGAACAGCTTATGATAAGATAAGTATTTTTTGCATGAAAAACGAGCACTTATCGTTCCTCATTTTTAACAATTAAAAAAAATTGTGCAAATGTAACAAATAGTAGGTTAAATTTATAATGACATATTAATCGGCATAAATCGACAATTTATAATGACGTTAATCTTTTACGAAAAATGATATTATAAAGTTTTATTCAAATCTCTTTCTACGACTAGATAATGAAAGAAATTAATTTTTAGATCATAATCCTGATCATAATCGCAAGTAAATCTAAACGAAAGTAAGAGAAATCACGAACATTCCGTTAGGTGTGTCAAAACGACGTTGTTGCATTTTTAATACACATATCGTAATTTAATAATAATAACAAGAATAATAATAATAATAATAATAATAGTAATAATAATAATAGTAATAGTAATAATTATAATAGTAATAGTAATAATAATAATAATAATAATAATAACAATAATAATGTCTTGATATAACAATTTTTTAAAAAATATAATGTAAATTTAATAATATCGTTTGTTGTTTTAGGATAAAGAAAAGATCTAATAAGATGACATTCGTTATAAAAGAATAGAAAAACAATTGTGACTATTTAAACGTCTTTACGAGAGTAAGCAAGTTTGTAAGAATACAAAACATCCTTTTAAAAACGAAGTATTAAAATCCGTCGATAATCGAATAGTAGTTTTGAATCTTTCTTTTCTCTTTTTCATTTTTTTTTCTTTACAATTCTCACATTGAGTTAGAGATTTAGGCGAGTGGACAAGGCAACGGAGGCGCCAAAACGTCTGTGCCGGATTTGAGAGTGCGCACGTGCCGCCGGAAAGTGGGTTAATTTCTTGCTCGCACGAGTATAGAGGATGACGACAAAAGTATTATATCCTTTATTACCTCGATTATTCTTCTCTTTACTCCTTCAAGAATTAACGAATGAACGAATGAATTAATAAACGAAGCAATTTGAAAGAATTCTCGAGTGTATCATCCCGTATTATTTTTGCGGACGTTAACCTTACTCATTCTCTCTCTTTCTCTATCTCTTATGTTACAAATAGGAGTTGGTAAGAGACAATTCATTGTGACCCTGCCAACGAGAACAAATTCTCTAACATATGAGTTCATCGAGCTTATTTCAGATATTTCTGCTTTGTTTTAGGTTGAAGTATCAAAAAGGAAAATTGATATGTTAATAAGATAACTAATACTATCAAAAGATCGACCATCAAGCACAAATACGGATACTCCAAAATATAGTGATGTCATCTTTTCCTGTCCACCGTTTTATTGAATGAACTCATTTTATAAATAAAGTGGATGATGATATTTTGAAAAGAGACAGACCATCTGGAAGAAAGTAAAAGATTCATCAATTGTGAGAAAGAGAAAGAAAAAGACAAAAACAGAGAGAGGAAAGCAGGTGGTTGAGAAAAGACCGGCACCGGGAATTAATTTAAAAATGTTGGATCGTGTCGCGTGCATTACTCATTTTTATACGACGGCACCAGCAAACTCGCGTGACGCGACCGACCCACGTTTGCTCTTTCTTACACACACGCACACGCAGAAGGACAAATATACACTACACACGAGAAAAATGACGCGATTCCTTCAAATGAAGAAGGGCGTACCCGTGACAGTGCGATGACGACGATTCTTATCGTTGAATTTGAAGTAACTTCTTCTTGTAGATGTTGATAGTTCAATGAGTTATCCTTAGGAGAAATCGTTGTACTTGTACTGACAGTAGAACAAAAATCCTTCCTTTCGTAGATATCTTCGAGACAAATGTGCCTGAAGCCGGCTCCACGATACACATGTACGCATACGGGGTAGCATGCGTCGAATAATATACTTTTCCGTCGCGAAATACGGTACCGGCTAGCGCGTCCGGGAGTAGAAGAGCCGCCTAGATGTGTGCTATTTGTAAGACGAATGTCGGACGAAAAGGGCGAAGGACGTAAGCGATTCCCAGATAGAAAGAGAGTCAGAAACAGAGAGAGAGGAAAAAGGACGGAACGTGTATGCGTGTACAAGGAGAAATAGATGAAAAGATAAAGATAGCGATATAAGTGATGTATATAATGTGTGTGTGTGCGTATATATATATATATATATATATAAAAAGAAAGAGAAGAATAAGAGAGTAATAGAATAAGAGAAAGAAAAAGAAAGAAGAAAATTGAAACGGCAAGGAATCAAATGCAAGATAGTCAGAGATGATTAATAAAAAAAGGATCACAATTGCGATTTGGGAGGGACGGTAAAGCAACGAGAGGTCAAAGAGTAGCGCGGCAAGCTCTGACGCCGAGGATTATGCTACTGCCGACGGAGACGGAGGCGCTGCTTTCGCTTTCGTTCGTTCTTATCTGCGTTGGAGGAGGTGGCGGTGACGGCTGCGGCGGCGACGGCGACAACGATGACGGCTGCTGCTGCTCGTTCTCGAGCGCCTCCCATCTTTCGAGTTAGACTCTTGAGCAGCCTCAAACTCGAACAAGCGCGCCTCTTCTCTCACTTTCGCGTTTCTCCCACTTTTGTCGTTCGCGATTTACTCGGCGGTCGGTGCCTTCCGGCAAACCTCGCCTTCTTTCGTTTCCGCAACGGACGAAACCGGAGCTGTCCGATCGCGACGCTCCTGCGCATCGTATATTACTATCATACCGTCCATCGAAGTGACACTTTCTCATGATTCTGATCTGATCTTTTTCTTTTTTTTCCCTCCTCTCCTCGCAATCGAACTATTTCGAAACAATTGCGTGTAACACCGATTACAGATTATGCCATCCATTATCGATCGTTCTCTCTATTTCTAACTTTCAATATATGTTTCTTCGTCTTTCTAACTTTATTGCTACTTGTAAGTCATGAGACGTTCCAAAACATAGTACTTATTTCCTGTACTTCTTTAATTATATAGACTGTTACATTAATAACACGATATTATATTTAAATACAGCTTTCTGTAAAAATGTAAATAATGATCTATGGTTTATTGTTATCCAACAAATAACATATCTAGTTCGTTTTTAAATATATCTTTACGGAATGTTAGAATAATAAGAGCAACTGTGTGACTTTGATTTAAGCTTAAATATATTATAAGATTGTATATTTTGTGTTGATCACTGAGGTCTAGATAATGTATACATTTTTTTATTCGTTTGCTCGATTATAAAAGTTACATTACGATTTTTCTTCGCACTTACATTAGACAATAGTATTTTTTTATATGTCACCCTCCAAGTGGCCTTCAAGTTTCACCGCGAAAGAAAGCCGAAGAAGCTGCATAATTTATCGGACGTCCGTCCACGCGTATCGGACTACAGCGTGAAAACCGTCACACAACTTGATGGTCGTTTCGTCTAGGAAACTTGCTGCTTCGTAGAATGCTCATACTTTATTTAATATACGATCGACCATGCGACCAGCTTTAACTTTTTAAATTTTCCGTCTATGTTAGAAGGAAGGACACGTCAACTTACTTTTATCGGGGCATTACAAGGAACGAATTTTTCTTTATATAAACATTTTATCGGAAAGAAGAAATTGAAAACTTTTTCTCAAAATGTATTTTATTATAAATATTTTAGTTATATATATCAACCTCGAAAATTATCTTACTGTATATATTTGCCTTTTTAAAATTCTTTTTGCTTTATTTGCATTTGATGCGTTCGTATATAAAAATATATATCTCTCTCTGTATATATATATATTTGAGTCGACAAACACAATTAGAAAGACAAGTGACCTTTGACATCCTGTACGCAAGGAAATTTACCTTTATCGATGTCGAACCTGGTTCTTCAAAGGAATAATAAACGAGCTCTGTTTCTAAGCAGCAAAAGTCGATACTGAGGCTCGTAGTACGCGTTTATGGCATGATTTCTCTCTGTGTACGTATATCAGCAAGTAGAATGAACATAGTTTATCGCATAACCAAGTCGTACATAAGGTCACTAATGATTTTATTATTAAGCATTCATAATATGTAGACATGGATTTAATACATATATAAATATTCTCAAGACGCGCGCGCGTGTATGTATATTAGACAACACTCCTCTATAATATTCTAATAAGATATGTATATAGTATCTAGTTAATTTGCTTCTATATGTGCGAATGCTACTTTCATTTTCGTCTATTAACACCGTCTCGATCGTCACTAAGATGGCTAAGAAAATTGAATTCTCGCTACGTGATCATGCAAAATATCATTTTAAAATGTATTATTAAAATACAGAATAATGTTTATTTTGATATGAAATCAAGGTTTCCTTATCTAATTATGACGTTATAGCTTATTGCATTTTTAAGATAAACGCTCGTATCATTTCTGAAATGTCACGTAAATAAATAGTAACTGAACGTAATTATGTAAGACAAATAATTAAAGAAAATAATTAATCTGTTAATCAAGGGTTAATAAAAAGAACATTATACATTCATATTCTTCGTATTACGATCTATTCATTTATTCGAAATATTATATCTTCATTCTAATTATTTTCTTTCGAATAAAAATATATTTTGTATATTTTTGTTCACATTGATCGAAAATTTTTTCTGATTAACAGGTCAAAAAAATATTTAAATAATACATTGAAATAATGTAACGTTGTTTAATTTCTTAAAATCATATTACTTTATCGTTTGACAATAAATATAATGAAAAATGCATTTTTTTGAGTATCAAATGCAAAATTCATTTTATATCTGGCTTTTATTAGATAGTTCGTAGAAAACGAAATATTTCTTTATATAGATTAAAAATAACGATAAAAATATCTTTGTTAAGATTGTACATATTTTAGTTAAATCTAGTTAATACTTTTATACGAGAAGCAATATAATGCACATTCGTATGGTTCTAAAATGTGTAAACAGATGATCTTTGATCTGATTTGGTACTGTTAAATGATAAACACACATTTCTCTATGAAAAAAGAAAAGGAATTTAACATTTTATCTGGCAAATACCTCGGAGATTCTCGATAATTCCACGTGCCGCATTACGAATGCACCGCCCGTAAAAGCGAAAGCATGCATTCACTTGATTCTAAATTTGTACTCCAACTGGAGTACTTACTAAAAATAGTTTCATTCATATTGTGTATGATTATACTTGCCAATTGCAAGTATTTCCAAATAAATATATATATATTTATACATAATAAATTCATTAAATATAAGAAATGTTCACATATTTGAACATTTCCAAATAATTTAATTTTATCTTGCTATTTACATTTCATTCTTATACCTCACGTCAAGGAAAAGACTTTATTTTAATTAACGATATCATCCTCGTTGACAGTTTTATTGTTTTTTCTTTCGTCTTTTAAAAATCTTATCTAAAACTAAGACTAGATAATTACAATTATAAGAAAAAAAGAGTTAACGATGTTTATGTCTTGTATAAATTCAATATGGTGAAATTTGTGCATGAAAGTCAAAAAGTAGATATGAAATTTGTATTTTATGACGTATTTTAATTGACGTATTTCATTTGCTCTCTTATACAGGGTTTTCCGCCTAACTAGACCACCTTAAATATATTGCTTATTTCGTACGATTGAAAAAATATTCTGTTCGAAGGTGCCAATAGCGTGATGTGCTGTATTTTTTTCGAGATTTCAAGGTCATCGTATTTTTTTTAAATAGGGCTGCATATTTTCACTACAACAGTCTTATAGCTTATAAAAAAACGAATCCAACGAGGTGCAATATGTTGACCTTCCAGTGATCTTTACCGAGAAAATTGTGAAATGTTTGTCAGTAATTTCAGTACGCGCTTGGGGGACGGTAAATGAAGGAACAAATGCAAATCAATGTGTAAGACACTCATATTAATAAAAATTTTCTCATGTACAAAAGAAGATACTATTTCATAATTTTCTCGATAAAGGTCACTTGAAGATCAACATATTGCACCTCGTTGGACTCGTTTTTTTCTAAGCTATTAGACTGTTGTATTGAAAATATGCAGTCCTAGTTAAAAAAAAATACGATGACCTTGAAATTTCGAAAAATGACCTTGAGAAAAAAATTCGGCCCATCACCGTATTGGCGCCTTCGAATAGAATATTTTTTCCCTCTGACATTTTTTCTATTGTACGAAATAAGCGATATATTTGAGGTGGGCTAGTTATGCGAAAGATCCAGTATATAAATTATTTAAACATTTGGTTTTATTATCTTTTAAAAAATTTTATTAATTTTATTATCTTTTACAAAATATGCGCTATATTTTTAAATAATAATATTGAAATTTTTTAATATCAAGCAAATCATATTTTATTGATATCTTGTATTTGAAATTTCAATTTTGTGATTAATTAATATATCGATTTAAATCGAAAATATTTAATATCGAGTATAACAGTCGATAGTAATTAAACTCTTTGTAAGTTTCTTCCGCAAATAAACTGAAACTATGTCTAAAACTATTTTAATTTGTTTAATAATTAAAAGCAAAAATAACAAAATTTGGTAAAATTTCAAATTAATTTTGTATTATTACATAATTAAGAGTGTCTATATTTCTTACGTAGTGTTTTGTTTGTATTTAAAGTAAGGTTATATAATATTTCATAAACATAACCCTATTCTTTGATAGTTCATCAAAAATATAAATTTTTATTTATAATTCTTTTTAATTTATATAGAAGGTTAGTATTAGTGCTATTATTGTTTTTAAATTTTTAAGTGTAATTGACATTATAATCAAGTCTTATTCATGTGCATTTAATAGACATATTGAAGAAGAGAAAATTTGTTTATTATATTCTAATATAATATTAAACCTTCAATATATATAAAATGAAACCGTCAATTTTTAATGAGAATGAGTCGGTATTACTCGTAGGAGAAGGAAATTTTTCCTTTTCCGTAGCGTTGTGTCAACTTAATCTCAAAATAAATTTAATAACTACGTGCTTCGAATCTGTCATATCTCACGAAACTGGAAAGAAAAACATAGAATACCTAAAAAGGCATGGTTAGTGAACACAAAACAATATATAATATATAATAATTTATAAGATTTAAATGATTTAAAAAGAGAGTGATAAAATTCTATGATTTTCTTTTCAGGCATTCGTGTACTGCTGGGGATAGATGCAACAAAATTAATGGAAAATCCTATTTTGAAAACTAAATCCTTCGATAAAGTTATATTTAATTTTCCTCATGTGGGTGGTAAAATGAGAATAGAAAAAAATCGAGAATTGTTAAGACAATTTTTCATTGAAATTGAAAAGTTAAATAATTCTAATGTAGAAGTATTGATAACTCTTTGTAATGGTCAAGGTGGGACTCCTATGGATGAACCTAAAAGAAATTGGAATGATTCATGGAAAGTTACAGAAATGGCAGCGCATGGAAATTTTATATTAACTATGATAGAACCATTTTTGTGGTCATATTTTCCTAGCTATATAGTTACCGGCTATCGCAGTTTGGAAAAACAATTTCATACCATGCATGCATTGATTCATTTTTTTAGGCGATCAGAGCCACCTAATTATCAAAATATATCTCCAACAAATAAACTTGATATTGTTTCATGCGATATAGATCATTTTTTAAAGAAAGATGTATATCATACACCAAACGAATTATCGGATTTAAAGATTTGGTGCATATATCCACCAGCATTTATATTTGATATAACTATTTGTGTTACTGAAGATTTTAATCCACTCAAATTTTATACTACTTTGTATAATCACGCAGGTTGTATCGTGGATGAAGTTAATTTTATTGGCTTATATATATCTCCATCCAAAGATAAAATCACAAGAACTTATAGAATAACTTACAAGTCTTATGTAGTACCTCTATATCGACAAAGAGTCATTCAAATACATCAAAAATTTATTCCCAATATCTTAGAAGAAAATCTTGATGTTTTAATAGAAAGATAAAATAAATTCAGTGCATTTAAAGGTACAAATCTTATATATATACAAAAATATATTCTACTAATGCTATGGTAATTTATTTATATTTAGATGCATTGTTTTCGTCATCTGAAAAATATTTCTATACATGCGATTCCTTGGTGGTTTGATCAAATACCAAATATTGTAGTTGCAAATATAAAAATACACAGAATAATAGATAAGAAAGTTTATGAATCATTTTATACAAGCACAAATTTTCATTGTGATAATAAACATCTTGCAAATCCTTTACGTAGTCAAAAATCCAAATCATTGAGCAATACATCACAATATTTTGTGGATATAAAACAGGCAAGCTAAATGAAAATATTAATGTTTATTATTATTTACTATTTTACCATTTATCTCATCACAACATATTATTAATATAGGTAAGAGTCATTGGTGGAAGGGGTGGCGACGGAACCATATCATTTCTGCAATTATGGAAAAATGATCGTGCAGGACCTGATGGAGGAGATGGTGGACATGGTGGGCATGTAATTTTTCAGGTAAAATGTCTTAAAAAAAAGGAAAAGGAAGAATAAATTGATTTAACACAAAATATACTTATTACTTATTTAAATAGGTTTCAAAAAATACTAAAGATCTTAAACATATACAAAGTATCTTTAAAGCAGAAGATGGAGAAAATGGCGCTTCTAAAAATTGTCATGGTAAATGTGCAGAGCATAATATTATACCAGTTCCTGTTGGAACTATAATACGTAATATAGAAGGAACAATATTAGCTGATTTGAATCAAGAGAATTCAATGTTTATTGCTGCACGAGGAGGGGCAGGTGGTCATGGGAATCCCTTTTTTACTTCTGACACTCAACAATCTCCAAAAATTTGTGAATATGGAGCAAATGGTGAAGATTTGCAATATATATTGGAAGTAAGAAGTATGGCTCATATTGGACTTGTAAGTGTTTCATGTAATTTTAATTAATATAAAGTTGAATAGCATTGCTAAAGTTTTTCAATATAAAATAAAGTAAATATAAATAGATATGTATATTTTTTTGTTTCATATGAATGTTATTTGACAGATTGGTTTTCCAAATGCTGGTAAAAGTACACTTTTAAGAGCCATATCCAGAGCTAGACCAAAAGTAGCATCTTATCCATTTACAACTTTGAAGCCTCATGTGGGTATGATACCCTATGATGATTATGAACAAATTTCAGGTATAATATCTCAATCATATATATTTTTCTTAATAATAAGATATTAATTAATCCTACTTTAATTATTTTAGTGGCAGATTTACCTGGACTTATAGCTGACTCTCATAAAAATAAAGGTCTTGGTATAACATTTCTTAAACACGCAGAACGTTGTGCTATTTTATTATTTGTTATAGATCTCTCTCTTGATAAACCTTGGGAAGCATTAGAAATATTAAAATATGAAATTAGTCAATTCAACAAAAATTTAAATAATAGATCTCTTATCGTTGTTGCCAATAAGATGGATTTACCTGAAGCAGAGGTAAGAATATGATATAATGATCATTAAATTCTTTAAATTGAAAATATCATATTTCTTAAAGATGTATTTACAGGAAAATCTAAAATTGTTAAAAGAAAAGATCGATATGCCTATTATACCTATATCTGCAAAAGTAGGTATTAATATATCTACTTTGTTAAAAGAGATTAGGGTATTATATGACAGACTAAAAGAAGAAAACGACAAATCAATGAATACAAAGGAAAGTTTTATATAATTTAAATATATGTGTTTAAAAATACATAGTTGTACAAATATTTTATAAAATGAGATTAGTTCCAGCACTCTTTTATTTTACTTTTCAGCCTTCTGTGTTTTGGTACAAAAATGAAAATCTTTCACAACAGCTTTCACTTCTGGTTGATTGAGTATTGTAGAAAACCATCTATTTAAATTCGTATATTGTTTTCTTAATTCCGGAGTTAAAACGTGTTCGTAAAGTGGTAATAATACACTGAATATTGTAACATCCGCGAGAGAAATTCTTTCATTAACGAAATACGTCTTTTTAAGTAATATATTATTTAATTTCTTCAATGAATTCGATGCGTCTTCTTTCGAAGTTTTCCAATCAAATTTAATATTTTTGGGTAATGTTATTTGAGAAGACGATAAAATCCAACCTGTAACTGCTGGTAAAAGGTGATTATTCGTGTAACTAATCCATTGTAGTATTTCACAAAAAGCAAATAAATCATCTTCTAATTTTAATTTAGGATCTGATAAATAATAAGCTATGGCACTATTATCACTAATTTGAATATCACCAATTTCTAAAATCATATCTGTTTTAGAATTCTTATCGTCTTCCACATATTTTATTTGAAGATTTTTATTGCAGTATTGTGCTACTATTTGAGCTTTGTAGCTTTTAATGCTATTTTTATTTCCGAAAATTGTCAATTTTTGAAATTTTTTTGCATCCACTGAATTTGTATTTTTTACATTAGCAGTTGAATTAGAAGGAAGATCTAAAAAGTAACAAAATAATTTCTTTTTTTTTTCCTTAATTAATTCTTAAAGAAATAAATTGATAATTAATTTTACCTTGAATAGTTGATTTCTCATTTACAATTCCAAGTTTTGAATTAGCAAATTCTTTTGCTTTTTGTATTATTTTATGAAGAGAAGAAATATTCGGGCCTGAAGCTTGAGCAGATTCAGCTTTTCCACCGCCTTTACCTCCCAAAAGAGGAGCAATCTCTTGAACCCATTCATTAGCCTTCAAACCTTTGCTTATAGCGGACTAAAATAATTGTAATTAGTTTGACATATTCTCTTAGATTACAGTATTTGTTCTTCTTTCTTTTCTTCACTTACTTTAGGCACAGTAGTAAGGACAAATATTTTCTTGGCATCTTCATCAACACTTATTAATAATGCACTAGTGTTTGGAGATAAACTTTTAATTTTTTTCAATGCAGAATCTAAAGCTTTTGTATTACTAAATGCTTTCAATACTTCTACAAATACAGCACAGCCAATATTTGATTGAATTATCTCTTGAACGGACTCAACTACTGCATTAGCAACAGCAGCCTTAGCTAATCTTTCTTTATCATCGAGTGATTTTTTTAATTCTTTCAGCATTACACGCATATTATCCTATATTAAAAAAAAAACATGAACAATTAAAAATTTAGAAAAATCAATTATAAAGTCATACAATTAAATATACCTTCTTCCAACTATGAATCGTAGCATGAGATATATCTTCATTTAGTTCTACTATCTGTCTAACATACTCTTTAGAATATGTACTATTTTTATCAGTGTCTTCTTCAATAGTATTTTTCAACTGATTTAATTTATCTTCTAACAGAGCTGCTTTCTTAATTGCTTTTTTTGCTTCAGGTCCAGTTAAAGCAATTATACGTCTTATACCTTTAGCAATAGCTTCTTCATTGCTTATGACAAAATCACCAATGTGTCCTGTATTATGTAAATGTCTGTAATATAAAAATAACTAAAAAATATATACTTTTATTAAACATAATGGTTAATAAAAAGATGTACTCTTACGTTCCACCACAAAATTCTACACTGGTCTTCAACGCAGCATTATTCAACGGATCTTTTTCCAAATCTTCTATTGGTATACCAACACTAACTATTCTAACAGGATCAGGATAAGTTTCTTCGAACATAGCACGTAATCCTTTGATAGTTTTAGCTAATGCCAGATTACTTTCTTTAGCAAAGATATTTTTTTTCTGTTTTACTATATCGTTCGTAATTTCCTCTGTTTTTTTCACTTGATCCGTAGTCATAGCTCCTGCAATGTAAAAATATAATTAATAGAAATTTTAAATATATAGTTTGATAAAAAAAAAAGTACTTTTAATAAACCTTTATTAGTAAAGTCGAAACGTAATTTGTCAGGTGCAACTAACGATCCTTTTTGATCGGCTTCTAAACCCAAAACTTGCCGAAGTGCATAATTAAGAACATGTGTTGCTGTATGATTACTCATTATCAGACGTCTACGAGTAGTGTCAACGTTTAGATGAACCTTATCACCCTTCTTCAGCACTCCTTCTCCAACTGTACCAATATGTAATACATAACCACCTCTAACCTGCACATTCGTAATCCGTATTTCAGTTTCCTGAAATGTAAAATAAAAATTAGAATATTTGCACAATATATTTTATTATATAGAATTTTATCAAATATTTAGTCTTTTAAAATAATATATATTTACTTCATCGTCAACTTTAACTAGAAATCCTTCGTCATATATTTGTCCACCCTGCTCCGCATAAAAGTTCGTCTTATCTAACAATATTCCAACTTCTTCCCCAGAATGTACTTCTTCAACGAAAGTTTTCGCGTGTCTTAAAGCAATGACAGTACTAGTGCATGTCTGAAACGAATATTCTTCATACGGATCTTTGCCTTTTACATTGTAATCATATTTTGGTAAATCATTGGTCATTGGTACTCCTGTATTTTGCAATTCTGTGATTGCATGAACATCCAAATTAATTTGATCATCTACCCCTCCAACTTTATTTTGAGAGATAAGCTAAAATAAATGATATAATAAAAATAATAATTCTTATCATTAAAAATATAAATAACATAAAATATTACAGTCATTTTAATACCTGCGCTTGTTTTTTTGCTTCCTCATAAGCAACCATATCAACTTTCAAACCTTTCTCTTCAGTCATAAGTTGTGTTAAATCAACCGGGAAACCATATGTGTCATACAGACGCCATGCAACATTTCCTGGAACAACCTTAGAAGATTCGAGTTTTGATATAGTTCGATTTAACAAATTTCGTCCACGTGATAAGGTTTTTAAAAATTGAGTTTCTTCTTCATTAATTATATCAATTATACTTTGAGGATCTTTTTTTACTTCTGGGAATACATCACCTAGCAAAATAAATAATAGAATAAGATAAATAGAAATATAGATAAAATATATATATAGATAAATAAAAATAGAATAAGATAAACAGAAAAATAGAAAATCTTTTAAAATTGATGCTTACCAAGTAACTCTACTACAACGTTTACCAAAGATGCAAAGAAACCAGGTTTTGCATTTAATTTCTCAGTGGCATAACGTACAGCACGTCGCAAAATTCTTCTTAAAACATAACTTAAAGCAAATAAAATTAATTATTAAAATAACAAAATGTAATGTAAATGAAATATTTCTACCAATATGTAATTTACCCTCTTCCAGTATTATCAGGCATTCCTCCATCCGCAAGAGCAATAGTTATTGTTCTTGCATGATCTGCCAAAACTCTATATGCCATATCAATTCCATCTTTATCAGCATTTCCTACTCTTCCTTGATAAGGCGGTACTCCGGTACCTTTCTGAATAGTTTCAAAAAGAGGCATAAATAAGTCAGTATCATAATTAGCTTTTTTATTTTGAATAACTGATACTAAACGTTCTAATCCTAAACCACAATCAATATGTTTTTTCGGTAGAGGTTTTAAAATACCATCTGATTCCCTGTAATATTTGTTAAATTTAATTTGTATCGTTCAATATCATAGAAAGTATTATGAATATGCAAGTATCTGTTATATTCATATTACCGATTATATTGAATAAATACAAGATTCCAAACTTCTAAAACATCTGGATCATCCATATTTACTAAATGAGCAGCTTCCCTACTACCAATTCTATCATAATGTATTTCACTGCATGGTCCACAAGGACCAGTTTCTCCCATTTCCCAAAAATTATCCTTCATACTACCTGGTAAAACATGTGAAGCTGGTACCCTATACAAAAAATGAAGTTGATTATAGTACGTGCACATTTGAATAAATATATCTGAATGTTTTAATCATAAAGTAAATATTATTTATTATATTATATCTTTAATTATACCCAAGAGAAAGCCATATGTCTTTGCACTCATTATCAGGATCTAATCCAGATTTTTCGTCTCCTCCAAAATATGTAATGTATAATCTATCGGATGATAATTTTAAATTAACTGTTAAATACTCCCAAGCCCATGAACAAATTTCTTTCTGAAACATTTTATTATTTTATAAAAAATAAGTATTATGAGTATAATTACCATACGAAGACATACCTTAAAATAATCACCAAATGACCAGTTACCCATCATTTCAAAGAAAGTATGATGATAAACATCTTTTCCAACGTCGTCTAAATCATTATGTTTACCTCCAGCTCTTATACATTTTTGAGAATTAACAACTCTCACCCATTTTGCCATATCACTATTAGGATCCACCGTACCAAGAAATATTGGTTTGAACTAAAATAAATCATATATAATAATTATACATAATGTACTCAAACAATTATATTTAGATTATATATTAGAGAAACAGAATATTATACTTGATTCATTCCAGCATTGGTAAAAAGTAAAGTTGGATCATCGTGAGGTATTGTTGAACTTGAATGAACATATTCATGCCCTTTACTTTTAAAAAAGTCAATGTAAGATTGACGTATTTCCTTAGCTGTCATTAACTGACTCATTTTTATCTTTGCTCCTTTTTCAGCCCTTCTGGAATAATACTAATCTGTAATTAGTATTTATTTACGAATTTAATACCATATGGAAATAGATTACATCAGCTGTTAAAGCACAAATTAAAAATATATATTATCATCTATGAGAAAAAAAAGTATTACTCAAACAAGATCATTTTATAACACGTACCGTATAACTTTGTATTTAAATCAAAAAATTATTAATTAATAATAATTGATGATATATTTGAAACGCAAATGTTATAAACCGTGTAGCCGACACATGTGAGTGTTACCGATTAAAAGTATTGCGAGGAGAAAGGTAAGAAAACATGTGTATGCAATTTACCCCTCCACTGCTGATAACCTCCAATTAAAAACGAATTTTTTTACTATAGTTTTACAATATTGATTTTAATAGTAGGCGGAAAAAACATAAATAATTGCAGATAAATTTTTTATTAAATTATAATAATCTCACCAATATATATATATATAAGTATTAGTTATAATTAATTATAAATTCGTTTAGATTAGTCGTCACCCTCATATTAAAATTCCTACATTACCCTTGTAGTTCATATATTTTCTGCATCTGTCGCTGAAGTTGCACAAGCGCTTTAAACAAAACATGGTGAATAACCTTTACGCGTGAAAACTTGATCAAAATCTATCAAAATGCCGTTTATGATAGGTACAGCACCTATACGTAGAACACTCAAGTATCTACAAGCAGGAAAATTAGTTTTAAAGGATAAAATACAAATATTCGCTATTAATTATAATACTAGTGGACAGCATCATGCAGGGGCAAGGTAAAATTTAGGTTAAGTATTTTGATATTATCAAACTAACATTTTTAGAGAAGTTATATTTTTTCAATGATTTTATGCTTTAGAGAATTCATATTTTGGTACTTACCACAAATACAATACAAAAATCCGGATGTACAGATTATTACGTTTAAAAATATGACACCGTCTCCTTTTATTAAATGTTATTATGGTATGTAATTTTAGAAATCATTTGAACTACACGGTAATATTGTATTATAGTATTAGTATTAGATGTGTTATATATGTTGTTAAAAGTATATAATATATATTATTGTCCTTTGACAGAAAATGGAAAAACAATGTTAATAGATATAGATAGTCAACCAAAAGAAGACATTATTCAACATCTTATTAAAGTCGTTGGTAAATCGGAGCAACTTTTAGCGAAAGAGGCTATACTCAAAGAAAAAAAGGATAATCCTGCTAATTTTGGTGTTGGTTGTAAAATGAGTTGTATATGTGAAATTCCTGGGCAAGTACCTTGTCCTGGTGTAGTACCTCTTCCTTATCATATGCGTGGAAAAACATATTCGAAAAAAGATTTCTAATGTAGATTTGTTAAGTATAAAGTTAATGATATGTCTAAGTAAATAATAAATATTATTTCATATAATTTAAGATAATAATTTAAAAATCCTGTTGTAAAATTTATTATATGTTTTTGTTTATTATCAAAAGACTCGATACAATATATTATGAAAATACAAGTACGTCATGTACATACATATTAAGCATAGCATTATCAATGAATTAAAATAGTTACATTTGTGGTGCTTTACATTTGTCTGCACCGTATAGGAATCATTTACACGCACACACACATGCACACACAAGAGAAAAATCAGTAATTTTATGCTTTTTCTATGCTTTTATAAATAGAAATGATATAAATATAGATGACGATAATAAGATGAAAAGGATTCCATACTGTATTTTTCTCCATATGATCATTCAAAATGTGTCATTTATGAAAAATGTATATAGACAGTTTGAGTTATCTTCTCGGCTTATAACGATTATATGGCTTATTGTTGTGATGATGGTTTCCTCGATTATGATGGCGCGTAGATGTGGACGGTTTTTGGTTTTCTGTTCTCTGATATAAATGAATGATAGGAGATCCATCCAAAGGTTTGTTTAATTCAAATTCTTCTTCTGATTCTTTCATTAATTTTAGCTTTGCTTCTATTGCCTGGATAGCTGTCTCACGACTATAGAGATTAAATTACGATTAGTATCCATATTTGAGATATCTATTGAAATTAAGAACCTACCTTATTTTTTTATCTTCTTTTTTTGCGCCTGCTAAAGCAGGTATGTCTATTTTTGGCTTTGGTTTTTCTATGTCAGGCTACAAATAAATTAATATAGAGCATATCATTTCAATTAAATTATATACAATTATATTTGTACAGTTTCTTCACTTACCTCTGTGACACTATGAGCCCATCTTACTACTATATTTTTAGCACCTACTTTTAAATTATGCAAAGCGTCTTTAGCTGCTTCTGCATCTTCTATCTTTTTGTAAGTAACAAATGCATAACCTCTTGGTTGGCCAGCTTGTGGACCTGACCGGTGAAATAGCAGGTCGAACTTTTCAATTGTTCCATGTTTTTGGACGAGTTTCAGGAGTTGGTACCAGTTGATAAATAAACAGTTAGTTTTTCAAATAGTTTTATAAATAACAAATGGGTCATTGCTCAATATGATATTTTGTTTTGATCAATTAATATATCACATACAAATTGAGAAAACGAATGACTCATTTGAAGAAATCTAATATAATCATGCAAATACTTACTCATTAATCCTAAGATCTAAGTTGCCCACCCATAGTCTTCTATCTTCTACCTGATTTGATTTAATAGGTTCTAATGGCAAAGGAACTTTAGCACCTGACTGTAACTCATAATCAAAATTAACCAACGATTTTGTGATTATCACATATTAAATAATATTTTGTAATCTTAAGGAAATATATCAAATATATCTGATTCAATTTCTAGAAACTTACCTCCATACCAATGGGAGAGATAAATAAGCTTTATCACATTAATAACAAGAAACCCTAGCCAGTTGGTACTGATTCCAATATAAATCTGTAAATAAAATCAAGTAGTAGATTTTTCTTTTATTTTAAAGAAGCCATACAGACATAATGTAATAGGTTATAGCGTACACTTCAGTGAAGAGCTATTTTAGAAAGAAAAAATATATAAAAAGAGTTCCATTATTTTTATTACCTGAGGAGGACTTTACAATTAAGTGCGTCATTTTTTGAGATCTCTCAACGAGGTTAACATAATACATAATATCAATGAATAATATATAAGAACCGAAAACCAAACGTATAGCGTAAGTGCATTCACAATGAGATTGTGTGCAACCAATTGCTACCTATCTGTATACAGATATGAAGTTTGATCCAGTAACAATGTTTTGCAAAGGCTTAGTGTGCGTCTTATGCGTATATTTACATGGCACGGCGTCCAAAGTATAATCACTGACAGGATGCGCCATCTGGAGTGTCATCAGATTGTTGCTTCAAAAAGAAACATTGCGAATAAAAATATATGTTAGTCGGAGCAACATAATTAATGTTTTATATTGTAATTGATTTCTTCTTTTTCTTATTACATTATTTTCATTGATCGTTACAAATAAAAATACTCACGAATATAAAGTTAAAAGTTACGTATCATTCGAGTGTAGTTACATATAATTATTTAAATATGGCGTCATTCTTATGTATATTTTATTAGAGATAAACACACGATAGTAAATAACTTCTTAGTGCGTTTATATTGTTTTCATCTCAGTCTACATTTTGAAGAGTAATCAGGTGATATGGAAAGAACAACTTTGCCCGAACAATCAGCATCTCAAACGGAAACAGTCTTGGAGGGGGATAACACCGATTCTGGATCACAGGTATTGTTAGTTTATACGTCATTTTACTGATAGTGCCGATTACTTGTTATTCTGTAAGAAATAACGTTAACGTTGCAAGTCTGACGTTTTTCTACAATTAAGAAATCGATTGTAATTATTATTGATCAAGACTTTTACTTGTCAACGAATTTTTATATACGAATGCCGTTGTTTATATTTACGGTAGTAAATTTGACCTATATTATTGTTTTTCTCCATTCCGAGTTATATTTGTAAGTAAAACAAAACATGTGTATTCTGTTTGGTTCTACTGTATTATACTCCACTGTAGAAACAAGATTTTTACCATTTGTATACAACATCAAAAAATATAAGAATTTCTCTACTATACCAGAGAATGATAGTTCTCCACTATCTGGGATTCGGATATTGGATCTCACACGTATAGTAGCTGCTCCATACTGCACTATGATCCTTGGAGATCTTGGAGCAGAAATTATCAAAATTGAGAAGCCTGGTAGTGGCGACGAAGCACGTAAATGGGGACCACCATTTTTTAAAGGAACCCAAGAATCTATTTATTTTACTAGCATTAATAGAAATAAGAAAAGTATATGTATTGATTTGAAAAAAGGAAGAGATATTATCTACGAATTGGCTAAAAAGTCTGATGTATTTGTAGAAAATTATATTCCAGGAAAGTTAACAAAAATGGGTTTAGGATATACAGATATTAAAAAGATTGCACCTCATCTTATTTATTGTTCTTTGACTGGTTATGGCTCTGAAGGTCCTTATGCTTCTCGACCAGGTTACGATGTCATTGCTAGTTCTATTGGTGGCCTTTTACATATCACAGGCACTAAAGATGGACCTCCGTGCAAAGTTGGTGTACCTATGACCGATATGGCTACAGGTCTTTACGCACATGGTGCTATCATGGCAGCATTAATTCAAAGATTTAAAACTAAGGAAGGACAGTGGATTCAGTGTAATCTTTTATCTACTCAAATTGCTAGTTTAATAAATATCGGTTCAAATTACTTGAATACTGGCCAAGAAGCAGTAAGATGGGGTTCTGAGCATGAAAGTATTGTGCCTTATGAAGCTTTTCCAACTAAAGATGGATATTTAACAGTTGGCACAGGAAGTGATGCTCAATTCTCTGATCTAATTCAAAAGATGCAGTTAGTAGAATTAGATAGCAATAAATTTAAGAATAATGTTAGTAGAGTGCTCAACAGAAAAGAATTATTGAATATACTTAGAAATGAATTTAAAAAGAGAACGAATAAAGAATGGATGATGATATTTGAGGGATCTACATTTCCATATGGACCTGTTAATACTATAGAACAGGTAAATTCTTGTTTGGAAATTCCAGGAGTTACATTCGTCAAGAAATATTGTAAAAAATTGCCCAAAAATAAAATTATTCTATAATAGGTTTCTATGTGTATTACATTACTTTTTAGGTTTTTGAAGACGATCATGTAAAACACATAGGATTGGTTAAAGAAATGGAACATTCTATTGTAGGAAAAATACGAGTTGTTGGACCACCAGTAACATATAGTTATGCTAATAATAGTGTCAGACTTCCAGCTCCAATGTTAGGGCAACATACAAGTGAAATCTTGAAAGACATATTAAAATATTCTGATGATAAAATAAAAAATTTAACATTGCAGAAAATTATACAGTGACTAAATTAAAGTATTATCGTTATTTATATTTTACTGATTATATATCCATTATTTTACAATAATAATATATGATATTTTATTTACGTAATAATTTTACAATTAAACAATATATTGTATTGTACAATAAAACTTATTTGTATCAAGCTTATTTATCATTTCTTACAATTTTTGATAATATTCTTATAATAACAATATCTTATTAATGCAATCAATTTATATTGTTTAGGATGTTCCAACTGTACATTTGCGGCTCAGAAAACCACGATCAAACAAAAAAGTTCAATGGACTCAGGGAACTGTGGATAACGAACATATGAATAAAAAGAAATCGAAGTGTAAGTTTATTCCAATGAATTATTATTCAGAAAATCATTCAAAGTTAAATGTATATTTAGTTTTTGACATTTTGTTTAGGTTGTTGTATTTATAAAAAACCTAAAAGTTTTGGCGAAAGTAGTTCCGATGACAGTGATGATGAATGCGAACATTGCCATGGTCATAAGGACGATCATGAAAAACCTCTACCAAATAACACAGAACCGTCCGAATGTATGTGACTATACTATAGTAAATTATTAAATTAAGTTATTTTATATAGAATCAAATATTCAAGGGAAAATATTTTTCTATCTTTTTTAGAATGAATAGAAGCAAAATTAATAAATATATATATTATAATTTTCTCGTAATAACAATTTCCCATTGTGAGACTAGGGTGTCCATGATCTGTCTTCCACATCAGTGTTACATAGGTTTTATCTGAGGAAAGTATAAGCATCCCAGGTTGGTTAAATAACTTTCTTAGTTCTTATTGCATTGTGACATTTAAATTATGCATCTTATGTTAGTGTTTGTGTACATATTCAAATATATATATTTTAAAATAATATATAACTTAATGAGCTTGATATTACAGGTACTGCAATCACCAATTATTATAAATATCATAAATTAAAATCTTATTATAATGTGAAATATACAGTATTATGCACAGATGTTGTAAAGAAAGCTGCTAATACAGACTGCAGCATTATGTTGATGTTTTATGAAACGTGAGTGATTCATTTTATATTTGCTTTTTTAAAAGGAAGGATGATATAATATTAGTATATTACATCTCAAACTGTTCAATTTTTTAATATCCTGTAGAAATTCAAAATTTTTAAAACAATAAACTATTTAATGAATTTACTTTTTTTTAAATACATGTTTTTAAAAAGTTTTCATAACAATTTAATTATGATTCACGTATCTCCAATTATTTTCATTTAATTACTATAAATAATAGAGGTCCGCCATAGTTTTTTTTATTTTAGTTGAAATTAACATTACTGATCTAAAAGTCTCTCTCAAAGAGTTTTATTTTTATTTAGTTATGGAAAATTTAAATTCTTGTATAGGTAGTAGATTAAAAACTTTAGAAACATGTTATTTAAAATTAGATTTTATTGAAAAAGTTTTCATCAATTTCTAATCAATATAAAGAAATTTGATTTTCTAAACTTATCTTCTTTATTACACGGCCCAATATAATATATATATAAAAACAAAATTTCCTGA